AGCAGCTGTTTGGTAAGTGATTCAATCGTTGGTCTATTTTTGTGCTAGTGTGCGGTATTTTCTAGTATTTGTGGTGTTCATTATAATACTATTGATATGTCAAACTGTTTACAATATGGCAACAATAAGATACAATCGATTAATCAATCGTTACATAATTTGATATACTGTAAATGAGATTGCTGGTAATCGAAATTTATAACTGAGTTGACAACAGCTGGTTTTTACTCCCTATGGGCTAAAAGCGAGTTTTACTCCCTAGAGAGTAAAAATGCTATTTTAGACCCTCAACGCATGCATTTAAAACAGACGTTTTTGCTGTAATATGACGAAAAAGCATTTTTTTAATATGTACATGCGTTTGCTGGTCTAAAGAAGCTCTTACTCCCTGAAGAGTAAAGAGGTACTCGTATAAATCAGCTGTTGTAAACTCAGGTGTAAACTTCGATTGTAAGCAATCGCATGTATAAATATTATGTATCGATTGATTCAATTAGCTGTAGCTTATTGTTGCATTCAATAGTTTGCCATATCGATAGTACAACGTACAGTAACACAATCGTAATAGACGATTGAATCATTTACTTTTCAGCTGCTTGATATCACTAGCACATTAAACATTTAAAAAATTGGAAGCTGTTTTGATAGGTTATCTTTACATGAAAAGGATTTCCGTTTTCTTACTTAGTTTGGTAAATAATGTTGCTGCAATATGACGAAAATATAGCACACGGGCAAAAATTTTCTTTTTAACCATCGCAGATTTTCCGAACTCGGGTTTGTGGATTTGTCTCGATCGTGAAACTTGAGCTCGGGTCGAAAAGAGTAACTTTGCGCCCTATTGATGAAATTTTCCATTTAGAGTTAAAGTTGGTAGAATTACAAGAAATAATTCGTTAAAATTATAAACTCACTGTATACCAGACGGAGTTAACCAGATGCATAGTTATAGTATATCCTACGCATGGTAATGGATTTCCTACGCAAAAATGTATATTTTATACACTTTTAGATACTGATCTCATATTTCAATTTTTAATTTTAGTGAGAAGTGGCGGGTGTACAATTGAATTAAGTTGATACCCTCATTACTCATATAAATGGCTAAAATTCCCCTTTTACGGTAGCTGAAGGGAGCGAAGCCTTATGTATGTGGCTTTTTTTGTTATTCCTGCTGCGTCAAACCTTGCTTTGAACTGTGTGTGTATGGAAATAAAACACAAATTCTGTTAAGAAAATGTTCATGATTAAATTGACAGTTCTTATACCTTTCCATCCAACATGAATATGCAATAGTTAAACATAAAAAAATCGTAAGATGTTAATGGTTGTCATTTGATCTTGTTCTCAATGTAAAAATTCCTTGCAATACTGTTTAAAGTGAGTTTAACTCCATTGTACTCTGTGTAAATAGCATTTTACCAGTTAACTGGTTATTTTGGAACACAAGTTACGTTTTATTTTACCAATAGTCAATGGCGTTATTAATAATTCTTGTTATGAAGAACTCTTCGTTTCTCCTCACTATGGGAACTTGCCTAGAACTTCAATTACATGAAAAATCTTTCAATTCTTTCAAGATAAGGAAAATCTGTAAATAAACACAAAAAAGCCCTTACCTACGACCGTTTTTTAAAGTAGCCATTTCAGTCCAGATCTTAGAATTGAAAAGTTTCACTTTACAGCTGTTTACTTTCATATCAGCATAGTTTCATTTCATATCAGGATAGTTTTTCTCATATCAACACAGGTAACGGACCAATGAGGTTCAAGTATTGAGAGAAAAGAATTAAAATTGTAATGCTTCGAACGTCAACTAATCAGCTGATCAGTTGACCAATTTAATTGTTGATCCGACTTGTTCATGTTGACACTCGCGTATTCTTAATTAAGTTGGTGGAAGTCCAAAAATTAATGAAATATTTGCCGAATTGTACCTGATACAATATTATTTATGGTAAGAATGCTGCTAGCAATGTAATATTTAACGAAGTTTAACAAACACGTAATTACAGGAAATCAGCTGATTATACAACAAGTCGTTACATTACTTTCAGTGGCAATGACAATACACGAAAACCTAACCTCTCTAAAAAGTTATCAGTAGTGATTGTTAGTAATTAAATCCAGATTGATAGTAATTAAAAAACGGTCGTAGGTAAAGTAGTGTACGCAACTCGCGTTAATAGTCTTTACGACACTCGTAGAAGTTTTTAAGGCACTCGCCAAGGCTCGTGCCTTAAATTTTCTACTCGTGTCGTAAAGACTCACTTAACGCAATCGTTGCGTAAACTACTATTAAAACAAAATACATGTAATCCATTTTATATTACGGAATAGCAACATTTTCCTCCATGCTCAATAGTCACTTCAAGCCTACTTCATGTCCAGGCTGTCAGCGCTTTGCTCTTTATCCATGTGAATTACCAACATATTAACATGTGTTGAATACTCCAGTGGTCTTTGACTTGTACAAATATCACATCGACTTCTTGTGAAATTCAAATCACCCCAGTTCTTTGAACTTCCAAGGCCAATATTAAAATAAGATTTGACTTGAGACTATGGAGGGTTTGTGGAACATTTGTATCAAATTTAACTGATAATTTAGGTGGACCGGTGAGGTCGTACTCGTTTACCGAGTCGTTAATTAATGTACTATGATAATTGTCACAATATTATGTGTTTTTTTTTAAGTCCAATATTATGCCCAATAGGGTAATTGTAAAATTGTATTAACTATAATAAACATTGCTCTTTCAAGCGCAAGTTAGGAAAAACACTATATACAGGGTGATTTGTACTCAGTGTGACAAAATTTTTTTGGCGTAAGTACAAAGTAAATGAAGTGTGATGATGCATATCAAATGTTCCAAGTCTCAAAATTAGCTTCCCAAAAAATTATTTTATGTTTTTCAAAAATAACCATGCTTATAAACTTAATACATCGATTTCTCAATTACCTGTATATGGATTTGAGTAGATAATGTCATTTTCGTGTTCTACATTAAATTTTGAACAAGAATAATGGAAAATGACGGAGGATCAGTTGTACAAACTCCATTGTAAATAGATTCAAAGATAAAAATTAAGATATTTGATAAAAATTGTAAAAACAATGGTCTATTGCATTTTTTACACCCTGTATACAAGAAAGTGTCGGAATATGTTAAAAACTGCGCCATTTTATAAGCTTTCCAACCATATGCTACACTATTGAGGTTTATGCCTGCTTATAATGCGCATTAATGGTTTGAAGACTACAAAGCATGGTGTCTTTATCATTTGAAACATTGAAAGTCGGTATGTATTAAGAAAAAGTTGTATTTTTGTTTCAGCTTGAACAGTAAAAACAGTAAAAAAGTTCCCTGTTTTCTGGCATTCAAATCACTAAAACAAACAAAAAAATATCTAAACCTCAATAGTGTAGCATATAGTTGGAAAGCTTATAAAATGGCGCAGTTTTTAACATATTCCGACACTTTCTTGTATACAGGGTGTGAAAAGTGCAATAGACCATTGTTTTTACAATTTTTATCAAATATCTTAATTTTTATCTTTGAATCTATTTACAATGGAGTTTTTACAATTGATCCTCCGTCATTTTCTTATTCATTCTTTCATATTCTTGTTCAAAATTTAATGTAGAACACGAAAATGACATTATCTACTCAAATCCATATACAGGTAATTGAGAAATCGCTGTATTAAGTTTAAAAGCATGGTTATTTTTGAAAAACGTCAAATAATTTTTTGAGAAGCTAATTTTGAGACTTGGAACATTTGATATGCATCATCACACTTCATTTACTTTGTACTCACACCAAAAAATTTTTGTCACACTGAGTACAAATCACCCTGTATAAAAATTTAAATGTGTATATACAGTATGTATTATATTCTTCTATTTACTTTATTACCCATTGTGTTTTATAGAAATGATTGTAACTGCATTTTAGTTACCATTGACTATTGGATGCTGCATGCTGAAATGTTGTATCAATAGCCAAAGATAATGACAAAGGTAATTAAAAAGCTAAATTACATTAGGCATAAATGATTAATATTTGAATTTTCATAGTTAGCTTAATCAGATGATTTTTAAATAGATTTAATAACACTTTTTATACACATTCGCAGTTAAATGCCGATTTTAATTCCGTTGCGTGTAATATCCAGCATTATAATTTATTTGTTTATTCATAAAAACACAGTTTAGGTCATCATTGTAATATAAATTGCCAAGTTCATAACTAAAACTTATTTATTTAGCTAGATCAAGTTAATCTCTTTTTCTAAAAGCATACGTTTCCTAAGCAGTAGTACATTGATCGTTTAAGGGTGATGATTATCGTTTTCAGATTTCTTTTGAATTTACCCATCCCTTGGTTTAAAAGTGTTTCAAAAAACTTCTTCGGGACTAAAATAAAATACCCTGTTGATGTACATGGGGAAAATTCAACCTCCAATAATCAGAAACAAAAAGGATTTAAACTGTCAAAAAATAGTATGGGTCATTTATGTTTCCACGGTTTACTAAATAGAGATAATTGCCATTGAGTCCTTCCAGCTGTAGTATAGGTCTCCTGGCTTGGAGTTTCGGGTTCAAATCCCGCCAATCTCCAACTCCAATAGGCCTACTGTTGAGCTTTTTGAAAATGCCATGCCAACGGTGTTTCGGAATTCTTGGTAGGTTTACGTACATCTCCCATACAACGAACCCCTCCCTTATTTTAAATAAATACATCTATTGAAAACCATGCGAATTTTAAAATTTTTTTATAATTTTTTAAAATCTTTAAGCACCGTATCACTTAACACCAATTTAGTGTAATTTCTTACCTAAAAACAAATATTTTAACACACACGCCCACGCTTCAACAATGTAATCAATGAACAGTCTATTTCATGTGCGCAGCGCAGGGATATTTCGTCGATTGGCAGCCCTGCGAGGGAGAAAGCTTACTAGGTTACTAGCACTGCTTTTACACAGTCGCGCTGCAGTGGACGAAGTGAACGTGTTTCTAATTCGTGACGCCTACACATTGTGTTGTTTTTCTGTGTTGTGAAACCGTTTTTGTGTGATGTTCTCGTTGTTAGCGACAATATAGGATAGTTCTGTGGTGTCTGTGTGCATATATCGACATTTCCCGTCTGTTTTGAGGGTGGATTTGGTGACTTAGCAGCCTAGTTCTATCTTCAGACCAACGTTGTGTATTTTTAACCTCTACTGTTTACGCATAGGCGGAGTCGGCATCAAAGAAAGGTTGTTGTTTTTATTATCTTATGTATTTTAAGATTTAACATTAGACATTATTTCTTTAAATCTTGTCCCTAAAGATGTCAGAAATTATTCTTTCAACATAAGTTGACACTATTCTTATTCAAGGCTTGTCATTTTATGTAAATTTGGTGGTCAAGCGTAGCCTGCCTATGATAAGTAAAATAAATACCAACACTTCTACAATCTACATTTCTACATTTTTCAAATAACGTTTTCTACATAGACCTATTATTTCTTTCATCGGTCTAAGTAGCATAACCTCTTTTTGAGGTTAACTCGTTACAAAACGTAACAATCAATTTTACAACAATGTAGAATTGTTCAATTGTTGTGAACGTCATTACACACATAATATTGTAGATGTAGGAGGCAGTGGTAGGCTAAATGTTGAAAACAAACGGATATTCGACCCTAGCAGCTTCCGCCATGTCTTGATAATAGTTGACCTTGAACTTAAACTCAGCGCTGTCAAGTGGACCTGATTAAAATTATTCAAAGAATTAATCAGCTGTTGACGTTGGACTTTATGAGTGATTTCTTTAGTAAAATATGTATTTTACTGTCTGTTATAAGTCAATCACTAATCAAAAGGAAGTTACAGCGCAACAAGGAAATTACTTTATGTTTAGAAGGTTCAAATCGAAATGATGTCTCAAAGTTAACCTGTAAATCATATGAAACTTAGTTCGCTTTTTATTGCAGACATAATAATATTTTGTCTTTGAAATTTGCGAGGGGCTGTGTTTTTGAGGTGAGTATAGTAATTCCAAATTAAACTTCCAATTATATTCCAGATTTGTGTACGTATGGGCTATTTGTGACTACATAAGTTATCAAACTGATTCATGACTTTCGCCTTTCGTAGCGAAAACAAATTCTAGTAAATTTGGTTTGCCTACTACATAGGCCTATTTTTTGGGTTATGATCTTTTCCCTGTAATTATTTACATTTACATACTGTCGGTCATAAATTAACTATCCTCTGCAGGCACAAGAAACCAAGAAACTACAGTACAATAGCTTACTTTGTTGAAGCTGCTCGCTCATTGGTCATTACCTCTGCTTATTTTATAACCCTCTTTTATGTTTACCTAACTTACTTTTAAGTGCCTGTGGGTTCACTCTTCGACTATTCTAAATACCGCTTAGAGGCCATTTGTGAAGTTATGAGGATGATAATTACTGGTAATGCGAAATATTTAGTTCGGTAGTTTTAGTCTTAGTTTATGGTCTACTTGAGTACCAATTACCGGAACATCTTGTGGCTGTGGTTATAGGCTACGTTGGGAAGGTTTTATAACGGTTATTCCGTGTAACTTAAGTTATATTGGGGAAAATGTGGATTTCGGGTATATAAGGGAAGTGGCTTTGGTGAAATAGGTAGGCCTACTTTATTTTACTATGATTCTCGTCAGTTTCAATTATAAAATTGTACTGCAGTGATAATGTCCTTTTCTGGTACCCACAACATTATGTGACTGAGGATGTTCGGAATTCATCAATTAGCCTACCAATAATAAAGAATATTATAACAAGGGTTAATTGTTTCCTCGTAGATTATTTATATTTATTATTAAACATTTCCTGTGTTAATTCCGATACAAGAGCGATACGTAGAAATGATAAAAGTGTGTAAATAATTGTCGACGAAAAGAAGTTCGGAAACTGAGAAAACAGCAGATTTTAAAAATCTATCTAGATGTACCGGTAACTATTTCTACATAAGCTTTAGGAAAAAAGTTTTTTTTCAAAGACCCTGCTTTTCGCCCCCCCCCCCCCCCGATGTTAAATTTTTACTTTCCATAGGGCTATTGTTGCAGTAAAAAAAGTTGCATGGCCATACTGTGTGTTTAGTTGTTGTTACATTGTTGTCCTAGTATAGTATAATTAACATGAAGCTGAAATTACATGAAAAAACGTCTCAAACACGCGAAACATTTTATATTTACGGATAGACTACTGTTGACTCACAGGACTGTAAAACATAACTTCTAAAGGATGATAAGCTGGTTATCGATTTTGACTGGAGTGCCCAATCGAAATAGAGCACCTCTAAAACCCTCTTTTGTATGTATTTACCGTCTTGTAAGTCAACCGTATTGGTATAAATAATGTAAATATGTTTTAAGGGTTATTGAGGCTTATTATGTAATTTCAGTTAGTTAATTTACACATAGGCCTACACGTTATTTAGTATCTAGCTTAAGTCATTTCATTTATGTAATTTGATAAAATTGATGTTAAGAAAATAAACGTCGAGTACCTACTGTTAAATAAAAGAGAACACTTCGCGATATTCTTAAATAGAATTGGTAATGGGACAAAATATTACTGAATGTAACCGAGTAAACAACACCATACTTGCCTTCATTTCCGAAGGTTGCTGGTCCCATCCTATATACTTCGATGGTCCCATCTCGTGTAGGATCGATTCTGGATCCACCCTCCAGCCTGATGTCATTTGTCATCATGCTATAATTATAAGCTTTTAGCTAGCTATCCTTCGGAATCAAACTGTTATAAGTTACTTATGTTGAGTGTTTGGCTGCATTAATCATAGCGTTGAAAGCGTTAATGCCGCTGAGCTCTCACATTGTGATCTGCGATGTAGACGAAGTGCATTATGGGAGTTGGCGAAGTGCATTATGGGACGTGGCGTGTCGGGTGAACACGCTATGCTGATGCTCAGGCTACTTTGTGTTATGATGCAGCGAGTAAAGCATTTAGTATTCATTATTCCAAGGGTTATAAATTATGAGAAGTTAACATGGTAATGTGAAGTAGCCTACCTGTTAATATTGAAAGGCCTATTGCAGTTGTTTTGTAATATTACAAAAAAACTATTAAAACTAAGAACATAGAGTAAAACTTTGGACGATTGGGAAAGCTGGGGAATTTTTGTTAGAAAGCCAGGGAGTTTATTAAAGTCCTGCGATATTATTAAAGGGACCACTATTTTAAAATCATGTAGCCTAATCTCGTTTAGGCCGAAAGAGATTATTATAGGGCATTCATAATAGTGCTGGTTCGTCAAAAACTAGCGCTGCGCAAAATTCTTCACGCGAATGTCTTTGAGAGTTTTATCACCAAGGAAAATGTGAACCAACCAAGAGTCAGCAAATATCAAGCTCAAAAGTTGAATTAGATTATTTATTTTAATGGTGGGAACTTTTTGTTGTTTCTACTGTAGGGTGATTTTCTGAAATATGTAGGAGCTGAAAATATCCATCTAATCAAAATAGTTTGCCATCTTCTAAGTCAACTAACTGTCAATATTTGAAAGCAAATGTAATTTCGGACGATTCTCGTTGATTGTGAATTTTCTTATTTTTTCTTCATTCTTTGATATGTTACATATGATACATAATTATTGTCTACAATTAATTGAGCGGAGCGAGCGAAGCTCTTATACGTCGACTCTTATGCATTTCGTATTACGCAAACTCCTCCTAGACGGCTGAATCAATCGTTTTCAAATTTTGCATGGTGATAAAGACCATATCGGTGAGTGCCAACATCTATATGGCGTTAAAAAAGTCTCTCAGGAATCCGCCCCACTGGGTCTCAAAGTTTCAATGTAATCCTTATGGAAGCAGTATTTGACACATAAACAAAGTCATATGATCAGCTGTTGACTTTTGAATGCAGTAGATAAAGAAATAGCTGATAGCATTATTCCACAGATATTAGAACAGAAACGGTATGGATCATAAATATAATCAAATGACGACACTAGCTTGAGGTTCGTGACGTAGGAAGTGGTGAAGGAAGTAGTAAAGGTGAGTAGTCTGGAGTGTGGAAACTGTTTGTGACGATTAGATTTAGGTATCTGCATTCCTAAAATTCTATGGGAAGGGAGGAAAACGGGTCCGCGACGTAGGACGTGGTGAAGGAAGTAGCCAAGGCGAGCTGTCCGGACTGTGGGAACTGTTTATGACTAGATTTTAAGGTATCTGCAATCCTAAAATGCTATGGGAAGGGATGAAAACAGGTCCGTGACGTAGGAAGTGGTGAAGGAAGTAGTAAGACTTGCAGTGCAGAGTGTTGAAACTGTCTTTGACAATTACATTAATGTATCTGCAATCCTAAAATGCTATGGGAAGAGAGGGAAACAGGTAGGAGGTGGTGAAGGAAGTAGTAAAGGTGAGCAGTGTTGAGTGTGGGAGTGGATTAATTGTACTGTACCTGCAATGCTAAAATTCTATGGGAAGAGACTGTAGACTGTAGGTTAAAATAATTACGAAACACGAATCGATACATATTTCGATACGATGCAATCGTTTACAATAGGAATTTACAACTGAGTTGACAACAGCTGGTTTTTACTCCATAGAGGATTAAAAAGATTTTTACTCATAAAGAGTAAAAATGCTACTTTAGACCCGCAACACATGCATTAAAAACGACTGTTTTTACTGCAGTATTACAAAAACAATATAATATGAACCCTTGATGACTCCGCTCAATTTTGTGGAAGCCTCTGCGAACGCCACCTAGTATATTGTGATTTGCTAGATGTAAACAGAGTACTAGCTAGAAAAGCTCTAAAGATGGTAAAATATATTGGCTAAAGTATTCTTGATCAAAATAATATTTTGATATCCAGTTTAAATGTTGGAACTAGACTTTGATGGTAGATACAGTGCGTATATGTCTTCATTAAATCTTGTAAAATTGAAAAAGTTATAATTCAGGGAATGTTTAGACTGTAGCAGAGACAATCTATGGGGTTTGCCCAGTTTTATTGCTAAGCTTATGCGTCTACTAACATTAATGTAGGCCTCTGATTTTGATGTTTCAGTAAGCCTCGAGTAAATATTTCCTGCTGGTTAATTTATCCCAATGTTGGTGGCGTCAAGGATATTATAGCTGTGAAGTTGGTAGAACAAACTCATTGTTTGATACACTTTCCCAGTCTTGTCTCCCAATTATGTCTTATGCAATGCCGATTGTCGAGGTTTAGACCGTGAACTCGTGATGTC